GATGGGGGGTGGGGGGTGCGGCTTATAGTCCGGTGCGGCTTATAGTCCGAAAAATACGGTAAATGCTAGCCATTTTGTAGATCTACCACCTGTTTCATAATACCCTTGTTTAAGGAAAATCAATTTTTTCTGTATTTCTTCAGTATAAATCATATCAATTTCATTTTGAAGTTTTGTTATTTGCATTTTTTATTATTATCCAAAGTGCTTTTATGTTGCATTTGGAAGAACTTGAGGTGTTTATCTAGTTTTTCCAATTTTTCTTTTCTCTGTTTTTTTAACAGTGAAGTGCAGGCAATTACTCTTCCCCAAATGACTGCTTTGTATGCATCCCAGAGCATGGGTGGCTCCATCTCCCCATTGTCATTTTCTTGAAAGTGCGCGTGTATATGTTGAAAATAGTCACCAGAAAACCATCAATCTTTCCCTTAATCTGTACATATTTGCCCTCTTTGTCTTTCTTATCAGATAAATGTTCATAGCGTACATGTTGTGATATTCAGATTGCCACACCCCTTCGGTGTCCTGATTTATATGAAGAAGCAAAGATCTTCTTGTAAGACCCTCTTTTTAATTTTTCGTGTTCCTTGTCTGACAAATGTGTCTCTTGGAGTAGTGCTATTTGGGCTTTTTCCTTTTTTAACTTAGTCAATACTTTTGATCTCTTCTGTGGATTTACAATGTTTTTTGTTATTTGAACTTATTCTTGAGACAAAAGGGGCAGATATAAGACTTTTTATTCTCTGCTGCCTTTCATTTCATTTTATATGTGATTTTGATATGTATATACTGTGTATATATTTTTCCTTTTATTGTATATTGTATATAAATTTATTTGTTTTGTTTTAATGAAATTAATAAATTGAATTGAATTGAAATTAACAATATTGACATTACAGAAGAGGATTTTCACATTCTGATTAGTGTCCATCCAGGTTAGAAGTAATAGTTCTTAGCCTATCTTTACCACCTGTCCTAATAATAAACTTAGAGCTGCACAGAACAGCAGCTAATGATAAAAATAAGAAGATATGTGTTGAAACCCACCTGAAAAATGTTGATTTGTAACTTGTAAAAATATGATGTGTACCTGTGAAAAAAATTCACCTGCCTGCAGAAAAGATTTGTATTTGTACCTAAGATTTGTAACAAGGTTTTTCTACCTTTTTCTTAGAAAATATATAAAAAGTAAAATTATTTACTAGCTTGAAAATGTAAAAGCATGGCTGTGTTTGTTACCCAGTTCATCCCCAGAAGAGAAGATAGCAGAGCCCAGGCGTGAGTTGTAGTGGGAGTTGGCAAAGGCACTGAAGTTGTTCTGCAGACGGCGGTGTCGAAGGTAAAGCGCCACCAAACCTCCACCCACTACCAGCAGCAGCAGGAAGAGGACTGGAACCACCACTGAAGCCATGTCCTTTGAATGGTTCTCACTCCGAGAAGCATCAACGATCCCTGAACAGTGAGAAAATAAATATTTAAAGCATGAATCAAACATCTTAAATATAAGTAAATTAGGAAGTTTGTTTGTGTTCCCACTCTTGATGTTTAACACTAGTTTCTCTGTGAAAACCCAGGCTTGTTGTCTTATGGCAACTCACACATAAGTAACAAGAGTTCATGCTGACCCACTGAGTTAATTCATTCCTCAGAGTAAACATATACAGTAGTTGTACAGATGTGAAATGATCATAAGTACCTTTTGGGGGGATATAGAGCAGCAGTGCAGATTCCCCACAAAGCTGTCCACCAACCAGGCAGCGTGCTTGTACTGAGAACGTGTAGTTGTGTCCTGCAAGCAGGCTGCTGATACGGAAGTATGTGTCTGTGGTGTTTCCAAGGTATGACGTCTGGTTGATGACGCTGTCAAACATGTGCACTTCATATCCCTGTGAACAGCAGACGAGAGTGGGCTGAGGACACTGAGAGGACATAAACGAGAAATTTGATGAGCAAACATCCCAAGAGCAGGGTTCCCACGGGTCCTTGAAACCCTTGAAAGTTTGTGAATTTGAAAAATTGATTTCAAGGCCCTGAAAAGTTTGTGAAAACAGCCAAGAATTACACTTGTCCTTGAAAGTCCTTGAATAATTTTGGGGATTGAAGTTCGCTATTCACACAACTGGTTTTTATTATCTGTAAAAAAATTTAAATTAAATTAAAAAATCGTACATTTGTTTTGGTGGATAACTCAGGATTACGGTGAACTGATGTGGCTTTCAACAAATAACATGAACCATAGTCATAGCTTTACCCACCCGCTTCGGATGTTATCATCCATTAAATGGACGTTATTAGTTGTTATCAGTCCCATAGAATGGCTTCAGACTGTCAGCTGGTTAATATGAGGCATAAAACCACTAAGGTTAGTTTCAGAGAAAATGACATGGGCCACGATAAAGTAGACCATTGTTGCAGGCCCAACGTAGGGCAATGGGCAGAGCACCGGACCACAAAGCGGGAGAGCCAGAACCAAGATCAGGCACGGGCAGCGAGAAAACCATGCCCCCCACCCCAGACAAAAAATTCATGAAAATATGTTTTGGTTATTTACACATTCAACGTCACTGATATATTAACCCACTTGGGGGGCACTGTGGGGACAGACTGAAGCCACTCTATGGGACTGAGAACCGCTAATAACGTCCATTTAATGGACTGATAACATCTGAACCAGCTGGTTTTACCCAATCAGAGTAGAGCAGGGCGGGTCCTTCTTTCTGAGCCCAAGTGAGAGCACCACAGCTCCTCCTGTCCTCACCGAGCATCTGGACATGTTCATATCCCCTCCTCCCAAACTGAGCTGCTGAACCTCCCAGGACATACTTACATGTCCATGTGTTGTAGATATGAAAGTAGGGTAAACATTTAATCCACTTTCTTTCATTGATTCCCAGTTTTTCATTGAATTTACATGATATAAAAACTGTTTATTGGTAACATTCTGTGGTGGCAGTAGGTAATTGCCGTCGCGCATGGTTCTAGAATTTGATTAAATTGGTACTGGAAAGTCCTTGAAAGGTCCTTGAATTTGATGTTGAAAAGGTTTTTATATGGTTTTATATGTTTTATAGATCTCTTTATGTTTCAAATAAAGTTAGTTTCAGTACATGATTTGTGTTTTAGGTTTACTGACGTGTACAAAGGAGCATTGCATGTAAGNCACACACACACACACACACACACACACACACACACACACACACACACACAGAGTCCCCACAATGTAGGAAAAATGTGCCCACCCACACACACACACGGTTCCACAAATATTATTGTTTTTGTTGTTATTATAGATCATTGCCACAGCCTTACTGTGTTCAGGAAAGAATTTTAAATATGGAGTTGAAGCTCAGCGGTTCACCCCGCTGTATGTCCCATAACTACAGGTAAACAAGAACAAGTGTGTGTCACCGGAGCGGACACCTGCTGACAGCGGGAGGGAAACTTACCACGGAACAGTGACGGAAAAAAAGATGTGATTGTCTGTGATCAGCTCTTCAAACTGCTCCTTCCAATTTTTCAAGCAGGCCCTGCCATGGACCGGACCAAACAGAAGTTACAGAACTGGACAGTGACTGCTCCTGCTGCGATCCTCCTGCTGTCACCGGACACGGACCGAACCGGACACTCGCTGCTCTGCAGGTTGCTCCATGTCAGAACATCCAGTGTCCACGCAAAGACTAAAAATGCTGAGGTCTTTATAAACTTAGGAACATTTTAAAGCTGGAAGGGTTAATTAAGGTCGTATTCACACCTGATAGTCCGGTAGACTTGGTTCGATTGGGGACCAAAACTGCAAGCTTTGTTTATATTTTCTATTGGTGCGGTTTGAATTCACACTGCACTTTCTCAACTGAACTAAAACCTGTAAACAACCTGTTCCCGCCCTCACCTGTGGGGGCACTGCACAAAGAATCACTAAAGAAATCAACATGAAAACATTTTCCTTCTTCACAAAATGTAAACAAACTATAGTAACGTTACTTTTTAGTGGTTATAGGGTTTATTTTTTGTTTTTGGCAAATGTGCTAAACAAATAGTCTTTCAACAAAGAGCTCAGCATGAGAGGAAGATGAGGTGGAACCACGGAGAATATTGTTTTGCACAAAAGGCGGCTGAGGAAGCTCCGTGTTAATCGAGTAGGAGCGCGTCCAGCTCCACAGTCACGATGTCCACATTATACAGTCGTCCAGCGAGGTATCACACCCTTTAAGTAAATTTAATACTGTTATTACTCAGAATGTCATGCGGTATAGTCTGCTTCCTGCTTTTGGAGCGGTCTCTAGTCCGCTTAGCGTTCACACATGCAATCGAACTGCACCAGGGTTCATTTTGATCGAACCGAGACCTACGTTTTCAGGCGGACCAGAGTTCGCTTTTTTTTTTGGTTCAAATCAGAGTTCGGTTACGCATTCACACCTCAACAAATGAACCGGACTTTCCAGGCAAACAAACTAGAGTTCGATTAAATCGGACTAAATAGTGCAGGTGTGGATATGCCCTAAAACCGGATCACATCAAACGGTGTGTAAAATATGGATTAGGATCACCGTGTTTTTTTTTTTTATTCCTGATCTAAACTCTACGTGACACAGCAACTTTGTTTTAAAAAATATTTAACCACAAAGAGGAGTTATTTCAGTTTTTTATGACTGATGCCTCACGCTACAGGAAAACCATAGGCTCAGTTAAAATAGAGGCTCCGCAGCAGAGGGGTTTTTCACATCAGGACGTCCATACACCTCTGCTGCCCGGGGTGGATTGATGCTTTTGTCCGGGGTGGACCAAAGTCATATACAGGGATGCCCAACCAGTCGATCGCGATCGACCGGTAGCTCATCAGCTGGTTCCCGGTCACTCACGGAGCTCAACCTTCCTCTAACAGCTGAGAGCCGACTCGTCAGCTGAGAGCAACAGTTGCGATCCAGCCCAGGACTCATGTCCACTCGCTGAGCTCTCCGGCAGAAGCGGTGGAGGTGGGAAGCGGGAGGAGTTTACATTCCAGTCTTGAACACGCTCCCTCCGCCCTCCCCAGCACAGCTGACGAGCCAGCTAGTCAGCTCCGCTCAAAGACATAGTCTCGCAAGTTTTGGGTGCGGTGAAACAGCACTCCGAACACGGTCTCGCGCGAGTTTAGGGTCACGTGTTCACAACAAAGCAGCGAGGCGCGAAAAAAATGAACAAAAGACAGCTAACAAGCAAAATAAAAACTCATTATTTTCACCTGGAGTGTGAAGAGGACTTGTATGTAATTCAAGCGCTACCTTAGCTTGTCCAAAAATGATAACGTGGAACTGCATTTCTTTCAAAACAATGCACAAATGCTATGAGATGGATTCCCCCTCCTAAGCTAAGGTAAGGCTGCTAATGCAGCCCCGTACCTACCTCAACACAAATAAACACTGCGGAAAACATCTTTCAGCGATGAGAAATTAATGAAAGAAGCGTTTGATGCTGCAGAAGTGCTTTTCCGTGATTTTAAAAATGAAAGTGGCTTCTATAAGATGTGCAGCTGTCCACCAGGATGGATGGATGTGTCCAAATTCGTGTTTCAGCTGGACTGCTCCAGTGTTGAAAATGAGGTTTTTACTCTGCAAAATGACATTGGGATCAAATCCAGAGCAACAAGTTGCATGGATGGAGAGTTCTGGAGTCAGCTTTCTGTCACATGAAAATCATCAAGTCCAAGAACAGATCCACAAAGACTGATGATCATCTGGAGACCTGCTTACACCTCATACTGCCCACCTATGAGACCCTGGGCACTGTCAGAAGTCCCACTAAGGTAGAGATACATTTATTTTTATATAGCTTCTTGCATAAAAAGTTGTCTCCTCTAGACTTGTCACAATGGGTCTGTATGTTGTTTTTTTATTACATTTTAGACTATACACTGACTGGCACCTTTGTGTTGTTTGTTTGTTTGTTTGTTTGTTTGTTTGTTTGTTTGTTTTGCAGTTGTTTTCTCTACCTGACGTGGCTGTGTGTGTGTCTTGTCAGGTGGTGAACAGGTGGAACTCTTTGAATGGTATGGAGCCGGTAGTCTGGACCAGTGAGGGCCAGCACCTACAGATGACACCATCCTACATGCTGCACAGAGATGGAGGTTTGAAATAGTTMTTGGAGATTTGTGAATCTGCACCATTGTAAGTCACTTTTTGTAATTGTATAAAGAAGAGAGTTTTATGTTGTGTGCTTTGACTTTAGTTTTATGTTTTGTTTTTCCTCCTCTGTATGGAGAGAAAGAGAGGAGAGTTCTTTGAATAAATGGGGACAAGTTCCCCTCCTCCAAAGTTATTTAAGTCTGTGGTTCTCGCACTGGACAGGTTTCCAGCCCTCATAGCTTGCACGTTACAGGGAGTACTAATTGAAGGAGGTAAAAAAAAATTATCCTTTTGTTCGAGCATCACTTTTCTGTTTCTCTGTCAAGAGTTAAGTAAGGATTTTATCTTTTCTTTTTTTGTAGGTAAAAATATGGTTAAGTAGATAGTTTTATTTGACAATACTTTAAATTAAATAAAACTAGCAACACATTACATTCTGCTTTATTTAAATGAGTGAGGAGTAGGGAGATGAAAAATTATGTTTTTTTTGATACTGAGACTGACAAATAGATCTCGGCAAACTGCCGACTTCAAAAGTAGCTCTTGGTTCAAAAAAGGTTGGGCACTCCTGCTTTAACAGCTAAATGTGAGTTTGCATGAAACTTTACTTTTTACAAAGACATTTATTTAGAACAGGGGTGCCCAAACATTTTCCCTGAGGGGGCCAAAATGAAAATTGATCTGAGGGCTGCGGGCCAAATGCAATAATATAATAGATGAAACGCAAAAACTTTTTAAGTAAAGTTGTTTTATTTATTTGTGATTCAGCTAGCAGCTAGAGTTATTTTTGTTAATTTTGTGTTAGTCAATGCGGTGCAGAAAATTTGACATACACTCAAGCAGCAGAAGGCTCATGGGACTTTATATAATTTTATTAAAATGTATTTGTGGTCATAAAGTGTGCAAATCTAGATGTGTGCCTTTATCTAATCTAAATGTCTCTTGTATTGTCTAAATGTCACTTATATTTTATGTTTAATTTTAATAAAATCCAAAGATAAAGTAAGTACAATGAGTTAAGACTATCTGCACTACAGTTGTAGTTGTATAGTTGTACCAATGGTTGGGATGACTAAATGGAAATGTAGTGTTTCTACATAAAACAGGAGAATACAACCTATTAGCCAGGACAACTGCTGGTGGGACAAATCATATGGCTTGGCGGGCCAATTTTGGCCCCTGTGGGCCCCACTTTGGGCACCTCTTTTTTTGTCACTTCAGTAGAAAACGAAACCAAATATTAGTTTATTTAGTTTATTTATTTCTTCATCATCAGTGACTTTTTTAAGTGAAGAGAAAATAGAGACAGAGAGAAAAACAGAGAAGTAATTAGAAGGATAGAAAGARTGAAATAGCGATTAGAAGTATATTAAATATACACCAACAAAACACAGGACCACACACCCAACATCTGTCCGCTCACCTGAAAAATAAATGGATAAAATATATGGAGGGCACACGAGGCAGACATAGGGAAGACCAGAGCCCAAGGGCCCGAGAGGGATCCCGAGCTCAGAGCCCCAAGGG